TAGGCCTTGAGCAGTCAAGCTGAGGGAATGGTTGCCACCTGCCCACAAAGCAGACAAAGGGTCTGTGCCACACTGACCATGGGCTTCCAGGGATTAGGAAGGGCGCAGTCAGACATTCTCCATGAAGATGCTGGGGTAAAATTCAGACAAAAAGCTTGATCAGAAAGCTATTCCATCTTGAAACTACTGATGTCTGCCTCCTCCTGCCAGACATTCTCATTTGATCCACATGTAATGGTACTTGGATTTTTTTCTGATCAAAGCTTGGATGACTACCCAATGGAGGAATGGTTGTGATCAAACTTCTCCTTTAGAATATAAATGGTACAGTACATCCTGAGTATTTTTAAAATGTCTGTTTGGAGTTATTTTCTTTGGGGGATATGTATATGTTAGGTTAAAATGAAGGGTATTAGGGATCATTATAGAATTTCAGACTCACAGCTCATCCATTTTCTTTCCGTTTTAATTTTGTGGTGTGGGGGGGGTGAGTGGGTGTGTACGTATGTGTGCCATATGTTTTTGTATGTGTTCATGATGCCTCTGTGACATGAGCAGTACAGAGAGACACTGTAGCTTTCAGGGATTTCAAAACCTGCTCCTCAGGAGGCTCTCAGCTGGAACACTCTCAAAAAAAAAAAAAAATCCAAGTACCATTACATGTGGATCAAATGAGAATGTCTGGCAGGAGGAGGCAGACATCAGTAGTTTCAAGATGGAATAGCTTTCTGATCAAGGGTTTGCCACATCCTAGCAAAGCCACCTTGGGCAAGTTACCCACTTAACCCAAAGCAGAATTGCAGAACTTTTCAGAAGACTGTGGGGACAGCTGGAGAAGGAGCTTCCTGTGAAGAGCCCAGAATAGTGACGGTCAGGTAACATTAACTGCTGTTATTACTTCATCCTAGAAGAAACCAGATCCTCCACTAACTTAAGAACTCACACAGGATCCAGGCACCAATTCCCTTAAGTTGAAAGGAGAAAGTGAGGACCTATTTGGTGCCGATCCTGCATTCTTTTACTTACTGAAGTCACCTCCCAGACTGATGTTCTATTCATTTTACACTAAGACTGAGGGGCAATGACTCGGGCTAACCTCGCTACAAAATTCTTGCTACAAAATTCCAGCCCTTTATTACAAACAATACTTTGGTAATAGAAGACAGAGGAAAAAATACTCGTCATCTCCTTGTTCTTCACCGGCAAAGATACCCTGAGCTTGCTTCTCTGTAGTGGGGAAGAGCTTTCAGACACCAAGGCAGGAGCTCACCAGTTCAGAGGCGTACAGGTGCAGCAGTAACTGGGACAGGGCTGCTCAGATGGACACGGCATCACTGCTAACTTAAAATGGGTGACAGCTGGGAAGAATCTCCTCTGCTGGCCGTTGACAGAATCCTTCTTGCCTTAGTTTCATTACCTCCAAATGAAGACAACAAGGATGTGCTCCAAGCCATAAAAATATACAAAGTAGGATTTCTGCTGATTATGACAAAGCTAATACCTGGAAGAAGCCAAGGGCCTTCCAGAGGTCAAGCTGAGGCTCAAGGAGCCTTGGTGATATTTGGCTTTTGATTATCAGCTGTTTCCTGCTATGAGTTTCTTGTGTGCTATTGTAGCTTTTCCATCATTTATTGGGCACCATTTCCCCTCTGCTAAAGGGATATTTAGATAAGCTGTGTGCTGACAGTGTTCACAGCCAGAACCCCAGTTCAAGCCTCCCTGTAATTATCGTCATTGGCAGCATCCGGCCAGGTCCATCCCCAGATGGAGGAAAGTCCCTTATCAGAGATACCTCTGTACTCTCTAAGAACAGACCCTAGCATCCAGACTACCTGTTTGAGAAGGCCTGGCAGATGTGCCAATTAAGCCTTACTTCCTCCTTTCCCAAACCTTACCTCTAGTTCCAGATCTCCCTTCGACTATCACCAGAGGCATCTAGCTGTACACAGGTTGCCTAGCAACTAAACATACCTTCCCCGACCCTGCAGAAAAACTTGCAGATAGCTTGAACAGATAGGAGCCACAGGAAAAAAGAAGGCAGTTTTATTTTCTCCCATGGACCTAGCAACTTACAGATTTCTAACATTTTCTACCAATCATGTTTAAGATTGTAGTTGAGCACATAAAATCCCTCTTCTTAGATATTACCCAAATTTAGCCTTTAGTTAATTCATTAGTCACTTCTGTTTTGGGTTGCAAATGATAATTAACAATTACTGCCCCTCTGTGTGATTCTTATCACCCCTCTGTTTGACCCTGGAAGCCTGACAATCACTGCCTGAGGAAACTCTTACCTGCCTTTATGACCACACAAGAATTCAAGCCTGGTGACATTGCTCAACCAAGGGACTGCTATTACTTGGGTTTATAATTGGATTCCTGGGAGACTTAGGAAGAATGTGGAGAACTTAGAGATGGAGAACTGAGAGGGATAAGGAGGGTTTTGACCAGAGAGTATGTGGACGAGATGGAAGATGAGGAAGAGTAGCTGGGGAAGTACCAGTTGGGTAAGAACGAGATGAAAAGGACCTCGATGAGGCAGCATTAAGACAAGAGAATTAGGATAGAACTTAGAGGGAGCAGTAGATAAATATAGAGAGAAATCAGGCAAGAAAGGAGGCATGAGAGCAGAATAGAAGCTTGTAGAGAAAGAACTCACACAGAATAATAAAGTGTGTGGACTAAGGCGTTTCATGTACATAGATTCATTTCTTTTCATCAAAGATTAATTTTCAGCTGGTTGTAGATTCTTCCCGGACCCTGGGAGGAGACTATCGAGGGGCTGGATGCCCATAGTCCCTGATACATGGCAGTTGTGTTTTGTTTTTGGATGAAATAAGCTAAACACATGCTTAGTCCCTTGGGGCAGCACCTGACACATAGTGGGGGCTCACTAGATGTTTTGGTGATGCATAGCAGTTTCCTCCAGATTGAAAAATCCTGTGGGGGCAGGGGGGAGATCCTTAAGATTTGGGGAGTTCTAAAAGGGGGTCCTTTAAGACTGGAAAATAAACAATTCATAAGTGTCAGGAAGGCCCTAAAACTTACCAAATACACAAAACCTCTCCATCCCCAAGGTTATAAAAGCACATAAGCAGTGAGGCCTGCTGAGGAGAGCCTCAGGCCAGCCAAGGGGCCTAGAGGAGGCTCTCAGATCTTCAGATCTGCAGAGCTACCTGTAAGTAGAGGCCGGTTGCAGCTTTTGTGAGTTGCCACCCATGGCCAGTATGGGCCATCAGCAAGGCACTACCTTTGAGTTGTCCTTCTTCCTGTAAGTAATTCCAACAAACTTACAGATTCACCAAGTTGGGTTTGGGTGGTACTCTTACTTTGGTCTGTCATGGGCTCCCTATCTTGGGCAAATAGACATTTGCTCATGTCACCCCAGGAATAGTGTCGCACAACCGTTGTCCTTGCTGCTCAGAACATGAAAGGTCTCTGAAGACTGAGAAAGGCAAGTACATTTCAGGAACTTCTTTTTAATACTGGTGGTACAAACCCTCACAGACCCTATCCCTTCCAGACAAATCTTACGAGGTTCTTGCCTGGCCCGTGTCTGCATTCATCAAGAGAAGTTCTGCTGCCCAAAGAAGAGCAGTGGCCTTAAATTAGAATGCAACAAATGCAGATTCCCTTGTGGTTGTGTGAGGGTGAGTGGATGGCGGCCTGCCATGGTCGGTGTGGATGGGATTCAGTCTGCAGGCAAGGCCAAGTCTAGCTGACCCATCCCTGAGTCCTCACATGCCAGATGCTCCGCCTGGTGAAGTGGTACATGCCTTTAATACTAGCACTTAAAAGGCAGAGGCAGGCCGATCTCTGTGAGTTTAGGCCAGCCTGGACGGATGGAAGAATGTCTTTCTGCATGCTGTGAAAATATATTGCTCTGATTGATTGATAAATAAAGCTGTTTGACCAATGGTGAGACAGAATAGGGTTAGGCGGGACATTCTAACTAGAGAGGAGGAAGGAGAAAGGAAAAACAGAGGAGACACTGCCAGCTGCTGCTATATCAAGCAAGATGTAAAGATACCAGTAAGACACAAGCCACGTGGCAAAGTATAGATTTATAGAAATGGGTTAATTTAAGATGTAAGATCTAGCTAACAAGAAGCCTGAGCTATCAGGCCATACAGTTCATAATTAATATAAGCCTCTGTGTGTTTATTTGGGTCTGAGCCACTGTGGGTCTGCAGGATTGCAGGAGCCGGGCAGGACCAGGAAAACTTCAGCTACACTGGTCTACAGAGTGAGTTCCAGGAGAGCCAGAGATACACGAAGCAACCCTGTTTAGAAAACAAACAAACAAACAAAACCCCACATGCCTCTTGGAAGATTACCCCCCGACTGAGCTTGAGTTGAGCCTCTCTGCATCTTCTTTCAAACGTCCTCAATCTTCAGACTTGTGTGCTCAGTTCTGCATAGTTAGCACAACTCTTTAGAAACGGCTACAACCAGAATCCCCACTCCCAAACTGGTAAATGACCAGATTCAATATCTCAGTGGAATTCCTCTTGCCCACCATATCTGATGCGGCCTTCAGCAAGAACCCTGTGTGTCAGTCCAGACAGAAGCCTCCTATTCATCATATCTCCTTAGTAAGTTTCCATTTACAGCTGCCCGTCTACCCCACACCGTGGATGTCTGCACTGTGTTCAGAACTGAGCCCAGCTCTCTACCAAGCCTTGCTTCCTCCTCTTACTACAGGCAGTTCCTGCCTTTAGAGCTTTAACTACTTCAGGAATGAGCACAAGCATGTGTGTCGACATATCTGCACACACACACACACACGCACACGCACACGCACACGCACACGCACACGCACACGCACACACGTATGCACATCCCACAGCTTGAGAGACGCTCCCTAGAAACACCTCTGAGCTGAGCTAAGGAGTTCTCCTGTTTAGAAGCATGGGACTCCAACCCTCCCACCTGTGTCCCCAGCCACCAATATCACTGACTCCTTTGCACTGCAAACTTATATATAAAACAGCACCTACTGTAGTATGCTGGGGACGCATCCGACTGAGGAGACTTGTCCACCAGTCTCCGGACCTGAGTCAGTGTGCTGCAGGCTTCTTCCATTTCTCTCCAGATGAGAAACACATCCTCTCTGACACCAGCTCCTGGAAAGGGAAGCATAACATAAGTGAGCAGCTGAGATAGGAGTCCACCCCCCAAAAAACTCCGCAGGGTCCTGGCAGGCATGGCACATCAACTCACTGAGGACATCTCTGAACATCCAGTTATATTTCCCCCAAATAATCTCTTGATGAAAGTCAGAACTGGAACCCCCCCCCCCAAGGAAGCCTAGACATGGTGGCATACACTTGTAATCCCAGTGCTCAGGAGGCCAAGGTAGGAGGACTGCCCCAAGTTCAAAGGCAGCTTAGGCTACAGGTCATCAATATTCTTACCCAACTGTGAATCCTGTAAGCTACAATAAAAACCAGCATGGCAAGATATGCCCATGGGGCAATAGTGGTACACATGTTATAGAAGTAACTAATCTCTTTCTATTTGGATTTAAGGTCCATTCTACAGAAGGAAACACATGTTTGGTACTGTAAATCTGGCCAAGAATTCATGGCTGAGGAGCTCACAGGCCCAGGGCTGAACCTACCACTACTATACTATTAAATAGACCAGTATCAAACTCCCTCTGAATTCACATCTTTATACGCATAGATCAGAGCAGCTCTCAGACCACGTCTGAGGGGATTCCTTGCTCAGTGTTTGGCAATTAACAAGGAAACTCACGATGGGTCACAGTGCAGAGACAAGTGCTTATGGAGTGCTCGGCCACAAATGGAACATCTATATTACACACCTCCCTCCAAGTCTCAGAGACCACTGAAGAAGAGGGCATGGACAGACAGTAAGAGCCAGAAGTCACGGAGGACCTGACAAAACAGTGTCTCTGGACACCATAGGGTCACTGACTCACAGACTCCCAGCAACTGTAGCTGCCGCCACAAGACCTCCACAAGATCAAACCAGTCAACCTTCTAGCACAGAGGGGGGTGGGTTGTGAGCCCCCACCCCTAACTGAGGAGTTATTAGCATTTGGTGGCTTCTGGGGAAGGGGAGGCCAGTTTTCTTTAAGGGTATACAGCCTTTAGTAGGTTAGCCACACTCTAGTGGATGTCCACATCCATATGAGTGTAGGGGCAGCATAAAGTAGATTCCATGCGGTATATACAAGAAAGAAAATAAGGATACAAAGATGGAAGAAGGTGGGAGAGTGGGATGGTAGGATGGTAGGATGGATCTGTGAGGAGTTGGAGGGTGAATGAGGGTGAATCTGATCAAAATATATTATATGCATATATGAAATCCTAAAAGAATTAATAAAAAATATTATCTATTTTTAAAAACCAACAAGACCAAGCAAAAAAAAAAAGTCCCCCCAGAGAAATGCTGCCATCTTCATAAACCATATGTGCAGATGTTGGGATGCACCCAGTGCTTGTAAACATCTGTGGCAGACAGAATAGTATAAATTTTACATGATCCTTCGGTAAGGTAAAGAAAGCAGAAGCATCTCATGAAAGCCAGTCACTGTCAGCAGCAAGTGGAACTGAGGGGTCTATGCAACAGCAGCCCCTGATCCTTCTTGATTTAGACGAGGTATCCAGCCTCCTTGAAGTCACTTCCACTGGCCTTTCCTTTGCTCTAAGGATCTTTAACCCTTCTTTTCTGTAGCAATGATCTTTTAGCCTTCTTTTCCGAGCTGCTGCTGCTGCTGCTGTCTTAGTGCAGGGTGAGGTTTGGCTGCATGACATTTTTTAAATGATGTGATTTAATTCATATAGACATTTGTGTCTCCATGGGTAGGTGGTCCACGTCTGGTCAGTGTTGGTGCACCTCCTGCAAACAGTGTCCTCGGAGGCCAGAAAAGGATGCCAGATCCCTTGGAACTGGAGTTACAAATGGCTGTTAAACACCATGTGGGTGCTGGGAATTGAACCCAGGTCCTCTGGGAAGAACAGTCAGTACTCTTAACCACTGAGCCATCTTCTCAGCCCAACATAAGAAGAGATCTTGAGTGTATCAATGTGAAAATCCCAGCTATGGCAAATCATATAACTTTGTGAGATGAAGCCCTCTAAAGGATACCTCACATATCTGTATTTCTTCTTCTAACTATGTAAATCTACAATTATCTCAAAAACATTTTAAAAATAAAAAAGTCAAGACCCACACTTCATCTTGCTCCTGTACCACCCCAGCATATCCCCTGTCCTGAAAGTCACACTAGATTCAAGGTGGCTTCTAGAACGACAGGTTGCAGGACAAATATCCTCTATAGAGTCAATCCCTCTCGGGCACCCTTCCCTGAAGTTCTACCCAACAGCCTCACTACCCACCTGTGACCAAAGCCTTATCACAGCTGAGTGCACAGTGGCCCTAAGTAAAGGTGGAGTTCCGTCTTAAGAAGGAGTAGGTCTGGGTGGCAACTGGCTGTCCCTGCCACATCTACTGAGACCTGTTTTGTGCCCGAGGCACATAGCAGCGTGGACTTCTGACATGTGGAGGTAGCATTCCCTCGCTAGGTCCCCATTCTCTGCTTCTGAAAGCTCACTGGATCTGCAGTCAAGTCATGGTTTCCAAAGTACACTTCTTCTGCACACCATGACTGCTCTACTTTACCTTGAAAGAGGGTGCGGTGGAGTCTTAACCATCCTCTTCCCAGTCAGAAACCTCAGTAATGATTCCTCCAAGGACTCATGGGGAGGGGGGTTGCCAAGGAGATGCCTCAGTGGCCGAAGGGCTTGCTTTGCAAGCATGGAGACCGGAGTTTGAATCCCTGCCGTGCATATAAAGCCAGGCATGGTAGTGCGCATCCGTAGTCTGGTGCTGCTAGGGGAAAATGAAGGGCAGAGGCAGGAGGAGCCCCAGAAGCTAGGAGACCAGAGAGCCCGGCACACAGGGTAGCAAACAACAAAGAGATCCCGTCAAAAGTAGTCAGAAGATAAGGACTGACACGAGGCTGTTCTCTGACCTGCATGCATGTGCTTGCTTACCCAGATGAACATGTACACACATCACACACACACACACACACACACACACACACACACACACACACACAAAGTTTT